CCTTTTTTTTTTTTTTTTCCCCCCCCCCCCCCCCCCCCTCCCCTTTAAAGATGACATTGCAGGACTAGCCCCCCTGCGGGGAGGGATAAATAGAAGGCATTGATACACTGCAACAAACTATTTGTCATTTGAACTGTGCTTTTAGGAGAGAGAATAAAAAGAGGACAGACTTGCACCTAATGATGGAATGCAAGCCAAATGTCACTTTTATTTCTATTTAGTTATTTTATTTAATAGGGGTTTTCATAGTTGGCTCGGAAAATTGGAAACTACCTGACTTTGACTTCCAATGTTTAGTAAAGAGTTTTTAATACTTTCTGGTATTTCTTCCCCTCCCGCCCCCCCCATCTTTCCTTTTGAACTCAAAGTTTTTCATCATCTCTCACGGGTTCGTCTAGTTAATAAGTGTGATCAGGGCTAGGAAAGGCCAGACGATGTAAAATTGAAATCCGCAGCCCGTGTAATTTGTGCGTGTGCGTGCACGGGGGGCACGGGGGAGGCGCGCCTGCGAGCGCCTCTTGTTTAAAACAAGGGAAAGGGGCAAAACTGAGATAAAAATGGGAACCTGAGGGTGCTTTTGCCTGAGCGTGGGCTGGGGTAGTTGTGTCTGTATTCCCAGGATTCGGCTGCAGTCGCTGCTAGGACGTGTACCCCGGGGTTGGGGATGAGGCGAAAGGGCACTCCCAGTGGGGAGGGGGTGGCAGGGGTGAAAATTTTAGGTTAAAACTTCTGCAGAGAAATTAATTTTCCCTTTAAAAAGTTTAAATTTTTTTTAAAGAAGTCATGCTTCTCTTTTTTTTTTTTTTTTTCCCCCTAATTTGCTTTCTACCTTGTCTTTTATTTCCTCACTGGAAAGGAGGAGAAGGGAGGAAAAGTGAGCAGGAGAAGAGCTCTGCTTTTAAAAGGGGAGGAGAAGCAGAGGGAGCGTGGGCCAGGCTGTGGGTGGTTGGGGGGTTGCAGTCAGAGCCCTGGGTGCAGGCAGGGCCCTGCTGCCCGGGGATGCCCAGAGCTCCAGCTCTCACCAGCTGGGCATTGTGGGGACGTGCCAGTTTGTCACTGCTTAAATCATTTGCAGGAACAGCTCAGTTTGGAGAAACTCTACCCAAGCTGCTTGCACAGGGGGGGGTTCGGTCGGGGGACGCCTCAGCTGGAGGCTCCTTTGCAAAGTTCCCTCCGATGTCGGCCAAGCCCAGCTCTGAGGTTCGCTTGCTCGGCACCGCCTGCCTTTCCGCTGTGTTGGACATGCCCTGGATGCTCCGTGCCTCAGTTTCCCCTCCGCCTCCCGGAGCTGCGGGGGGGGGTGGGGGTGGGGGGGGGTGTGGTGTGTCCCTTTAGAGACAGGAGTTTGCAAGCGCCGGGCTGCAAGCGTTTTGGGGTCAGCACGTGCAGTCGCGTTGTGCGCGAGTGCCGAAGGGGCACACGAAATTGCAAAGCATTTGCTCCCTGGGACGGAAAGCTTTTTTTTTATTATTATATCCCACCCCATCTTCTGGCATGCGCTTCAATTGCAGCAATTCACCGTTGGCACCCGAGCCTCTGGTGGCCTGGCTCTGATGGAGATAAGATGCCTCTTTCCTGTAAATCTAGGGGAAAAAAAAACATACATAAAGGTTGATGTGCTCTGAAATGGGTTTTTGCTTTGTTCCTCTATTTTCCCCCGTGTGTATTAACCCCGGGGACACCATGAAAGAGCCGGTGTGCCTGGAGCACCTGCTGGGGTCAGGGCTCCTCATTAGTTTTTTCGGTCAGCGCAGAATAAGCCCGGCCGCGGTGCGGGGACATGTGGGCGCCCGCCCTGTCGCTCGCTGCCATCGTCCCGCTTTTCCCTGCCTGACTTGCTTCTCCGCAGCCATCCCGCCTCCAGCTGTGGGGGCGTCGGAGGAAAAGATGAGATCAAGTTGAGGGGAAAAATTGGCTGATTCCTCCAACCCCTTTGTTCCCAGGGCCCTGGTAAGCGCCGGTGCTGTGCCGTACCGGCCCCACGCTTTGGGATGAAGGAGGCACGCTGCCATCGTCCCGCTTTTCCCTGCCTGACTTGCTTCTCCGCAGCCATCCCGCCTCCAGCTGTGGGGGCGTCGGAGGAAAAGATGAGATCAAGTTGAGGGGAAAAATTGGCTGATTCCTCCAACCCCTTTGTTCCCAGGGCCCTGGTAAGCGCCGGTGCTGTGCCGTACCGGCCCCACGCTTTGGGATGAAGGAGGCACGCCGGGGATGGGGGATGCACACTGGGGATGGGGAATTCACG